AATAAACTTAAAAATTTTCAGCCATTTTATTTTCAACTGCTCGTAATCTCATATATCACCAAAATACCTTTCCACTATCACCAAATTAACTTACTTATAACCAAATCACCAAACCAATTTGTATTTTTTTCAAATGTATTTTTTCTGTCAAAATTGACATCATCTTATCGTTTTGTATATATAAGCGATTGTTTGAAACATAAACCTTCCGGATAGGTAAGTTGGAAAAATAATATATCTTCATACGAATTCAAATTGCCCATGTTCAAACAAAAATATCACCTTATTTACCCACCCAAACTTACCTTATTTTACCCTAGTGTTAGTAACCTTACTTTACCCTAGTGTTAGTACTTGCTGCAAAACTCTGGCAATTTTTGCACTTTTTTGATAGATTTTTACTAAAGGCCCATAAATAATATTTCAATGCAAATGAAACTTTAAAGAAAGAAACATTATTTGATAAAAAATTGTGTTTCTCAATATATAATGTATCAGCTTGGCTTCCTTTAAAATTTTGTACAAAATTCGGAAACAGTGTTTGCAAAACATTAAAAAATAATTAAATTTTTCTTTATTTTATCTAACTTCCTTTGACATTAAGTGTCAAACCATCAGACAGTTTATTTTCTTCTGTCAAAAAACTAATTATTTGAATTTCGTATATTATAACACTGGTACTAAAACTTAATAAAGTATATTTTAAAGTGTAATGGCAATATGACATGGTCAGATATAGTTTTACATCTTACATTAAAAACCAGAAAAATATACTCTTTAAAACTAGATCTTAAATAAGTTAAAAGCGATTTATTTTAGGTATTGGAACATGTATAATCAAAATCTCTTTTGCCTATTGAGTCCCTTTTTATTCGAATTTATCTTTACTGTAACTATATGAAAAATTTATGTCTTACATAATATATTTAATCCATTTTTGTAAAACTAAAGTTATTAATAGTCCTACTAACAAAGTTGGAGTTTTATAACTTATTTTGTTAGAAATAATTTATTGATTTTTTGGTGATCACTAAAGCACCCTATCAAAACATGATTTAAATATGAAATGGCTTATATGGAAGTTTAAGGAGATTATTATAATATTCAAAAAAGTATTCCCTTTTCGAGATATTCAGATATTGAACATAACACAAAAAGTCACTCAGAATATATTGAACGAAATAATATGTTAAAGTAAAACTCGTATAGAAAAAAACAGAAGTAACCATGTTTCTTATAGCTTTAGTTATTTATTTAATAGAGAACAATCTAAGTTTGACAATTATAGAGATACATCAAAGGACTAATAAAAAAGTAAAACAAACCACGCACGAATCGGAAACTTATCAAAGCTATTACCTTTAAAACCTCTTAATTGCTTGTGTTTGGAGCTAATTTTAAACTTAAGCTTTCAAGTCGACAATCTAAAAGCTTATTATTAACTGGCAACGAATTAAGTGCTTCTTAGATTTTCATGCCTTTGACTACACCATCCACGATAACTTCGTTATTAAACTAGTTGTACTTTTGAAAACGCTCTGTTGACTCGCTTAGTTTTCCAATTTAAGTAGTTACTCCAAGAACGGTTATTATTCTAATCTGGATATTAAAAATTATACAGGGTGTCCCAGAATATACAGTAGCATTTTTTTCTTAATTTAAATATATTCTAAAATGCTCTTAAGGCTAAAAAATATGCAAGCCTGCTTCATAAATATGCATTAATTATTAAATAAAAATATGTAATAATTATTAAATATCTAACCAAATTAGTAATGAGCCAAGGCTATGACAATGGCAGTCTTGGTCTCCGTCTTGCAGTCTAAAATTAGTCTTTGTCTTTGTTTTGGTTCTGCAGGGCTCAGTTTAGATTTTAGTCTTGGTACAAGACTATTGCAGATGTACCTTTTTTAATAGATTTTCACGTTAAGCGGTTTCTCTATAGAACATTTTTAAATATAGTTTTTAAAGTAATTTAAAGAAACTGAAAGAAAGAAACAGTATTTGCCTGATGATTTTTTGCCTTTATTTTTCTATATTAGAAACTAGTACTAGACCATCAAATGTCTCTAAAATTTTTATGTTAAAATACTAGTTAAGAAGTAACTTTTGAAGGCTTTGTCGGCTAATTGCGTCGTTAACACTAGAATTATTTTATTCAAACGTGCATATAATTTAATTGAACCTTAGGTATTTATCTGCTTATCTAAAAAATCTTTAAATTAAGGAGTTTTCTACTGTGGAAACATATGTTAAAATAATAAAACTTTTCTACTATTGAAGCATTGATATTATACTTTCCTTTAAAATTGTAAACAAAAGTCGAGAAATACATGCACTAAACACATTATTTGCAATAATTTAATGGAATAATTTAATACAAATATACAGAGTGAGTCTTAAATAAGTGCAAATATTTTTAGGGCTGTTAGGTCTCGATAAAAGAAACATATTTTTTCTACACCGTTTTTCAAATTAATCTAATATAACCGAGATATTTTACTTTGAAAATTTCCAAAAAAATATACACTATTCTAGATTTTCTTTCTTGTAAATTTAATCTTCTACCTATGTTGCCATATTACCTATAAATTATGTTTTTTAACTAAAAACTAAAAAAAAATCCAAAAATTTCAAACATTATTTTTTTTTCGCCAAAAATATACTACCTTCAAAATATTTGCACTTATTTAAGACTCACCCTGTATAATTTTTTATATTATGTTTATTTGAATTGTTCAAAAATCAACAGCAACTTAACTAATACGACTAATTTTGGCTAATTTGTACAAAAAAATGTATTTATACGAATATGATATATATGGCATAGGTTGACGGCTACCATAATACCTTAATTAACATATTCATCGGTAGTAGTTAGAGGAAACGTTTTTATTATTATCCATTTAATAAACTATTGGGGGAGGGCGGAGGAATAAAAAAATTGTTACTTTTTTGATTTTGATGTATAAAAAATAACCATGCAGATAAAAACGTAAAAAACACAGCACCAATAATACAAGAAATACAAACAAGGAAGAGCTTTGCATGCTGCGAGTCCGTCTTGTGTAAGTTGTAAGTTGTACTGATTAGCCTTGGTTTTGCAAATCTAGAGCTAGTAGTAGTTTTGGTCTTACTTTTTTTGTAGAAGTAAAGTCCGGCCCGCTTATCACTAAATTAAATTAGAATATACAGGGTGTCCTAGTATTCCGTGGACATTGGAATCAAAATAAGTTTATTGAAAACAATTTACCTCTATACAAAAGTTCCACCGCATGTAAAAAAGCCACCGCTAACTACTTTTTAAAAATAATTTTAAAAAATTATGTTTCCCAAGCTGACTTTCAAAAAATGTTTTTTGTCACATTAAGCTACAGAGGCGCATAAAATCTATAATGCTCTAATAATCTACATTGCCAAAATATGGAATTTTATGTATCACAAATTATATTTGAGAATAAGCTTCATAAAAAGCTTAAAAAATTAATAAATTTTAAATTAAATAACGTTCGGGTTTATTTTTTATTGATGACCTCTAACGAACAAACGAAGTACTTTCGTATAAAGCTAAAATATGCGCCATTAACTTATTTTGATTCAAAAAATACGTAGTTCTTCATATAGGAATATGTATATGTATTTCATAGATCAGCTTTGGAAAAATAGATTTTCCAAAAAAAAAATTCTCAAAAACTATGCGATTTGGCGTTTTTTACAAGAAACCAAAAATGTAACAAATACTAGAGGGACCATTTTACGAGAAGAGAATGTGTCATGGGAGTTGAAAAATATTTATACTGAAGTTTATGTAGGGGCGGGGATAGTTTTCACCCTTCCAGTACTTTTTTTTTTGATTTTTGTGAAAAGAAATAATAAAGCATTCAGCAAAACAAATTCACCCAGAATATCACTCAAATCGGAATAACGATTTTTAAAATATCTTAAAAAATGTTTTTTTTAAGTTTGATGCCCCCTATCAGACAAACCAAGCACTTTTGAATAGAGGTATATGGTGTCCAATAAACTTATTTTGATTCCAAAAATTCATAGTAATTCTATGTCCACGGAATATAGGGACACCCTGTATATTACTTTCCTCCTTACCTATATGTAGTCCAAATAATGAGTTTAATAAGTTTTCGAGACTTGTATGGTAGTAAAAATTATTTCATAGTCAAGTTGTAAGTAGTAATAAATCGTAAGTATCAGTGAGTAGAAAATACTTTAAGAATTAAGAAGAAAGTACACCTAACAATATCCTTAACCTAAAATATTGAAATTTGTATTTAAGCTAGTATAGATCCTAAAATATTTTAATAAGTGAGCTTTAGAAACCAGTATTTGGTATGTGTGTGGTATTTTAATACCACACATAACGTTTAAGGACTACATTATTGTATATTACGTTGAAGAATCATCGAAATCTACTACGGACGTGATCTTGAAACATTACATGTCCAATAAATGTCAATAATAATTACAAAGCAAGGTGTTATTTATATCCCAGAAATCATGAAAAAGAAACTCAGTTGGACGCCCCAAGTTCATAAAATGGATATATAAATTCCATCAAGAATGGCTTAGGAAATGAGAATAATGCAATAAAAGTTTACAATTAATTGGTGTTATTTAAATAAATAGATTTGTTTTTCTTATTAAAAATTATTTGGATTATTAAATCCCACTTTGGAGTACACTATCCCACACGAGTAATTACGTCGAAAGACGAGACGCAAATAATGGAAAGTAAATAATTTATCTATGTATATGTGTTACGTATAAAACTATTAAAATAAAGAATATCCTCAAGCACATTCCAGTACACCTTCGGAAACTCTTATCACCGTGAGACCCCAACTATCTCATCGCCAACGTGATGGCGCTCAGATCGCCTCTCCTGCAAACCTGCCGAGAGCCGACAGTATAACGCGCGTCTCGGTGCCAGCGACGCCTGCTGACGCGACGCCGTTTCCTGCTCAGCGCCACGACGTCTCATTTTCGAAAAATCGTCCTCTGTCGAGATCACGAAGTTACGACAAACTCATAAATATTAACTCGTATGTCTTGTGTGTTCAAAATTTATTACATTTAAACAGTGATAAGCATGTTTAGTACAAAATATTGTTTTAAAAAAATATAGAAAAATTTAATCAGCTTTAGTTAAAAACGAAAAATACTACTACTTATTATTCATACTTTATCGGTTTAGTTTATTACAGTATTTTGAGTACAAACCTACTCTCTTTACAAAAATAATTTAACTATTTCGAGTTATTCTGTTAATAAATATTAAAATTTTATCAATTAGTTTTCGGCACAGATAAATAAAATAGACGTTCAATTTATGTGTGTGGACACGTTTGTAAAATATTGTGATTGTTAATAAAAGATGTGACAAACATTTTTGACTATAAACTTTGAGAAGAAAATCTATTACTGTTCTTGATTGTTTCCAAATATGTTTCTGCTTTCCGTTTACTTCCTTCTCCTGTGGTTTGTTCTTCCTATGACAGGTATGTGTTACTTAGAAATAAGAATATTTTTATAATTAATTAATATGTAGCAATTGTAGGTATCTGCTTATTTCAATACAAAAATATCAATTGAATTAAAATAAGGTATTGGTATTTTATTATTTCTTAACAAACATAACTTAATTGCTTATGATACTCGTTTCTTTTCTTTTAAGTTAAAAAAATACATTTATGGCAGTACAAAAATTTACCTTTTTTTAAAAGATTATCGTATAACATATTTTTAAATTATAAATATATTAAATAGTTGTTAATTATAAATAAATTAAATAAAAAAACAAATTTCTTGCAGTATAGGTATATAATAAAATTATATAAGGATCCTTGCTACTTAACTGCTGATATAGAAATTTAATTTATGTATTGTGATACATAAATATAAATATTGTCATATACATATGTATATGACAAACACAGAGTGGTATTAAATTTCTATATCAGCAGTTAAGTGGCAAGAATCCTTATATAATTTTATTATATTAAATAGTTGTTAATTATAAATATATTAAAATATAGCAGGTTTAAAAAAAATATGTACAATTTCAAATAAAAATTTTAAAAGCAAGCAATAAGAAAGTGTCATCTTTATTTTTAGAAGATATTTGATATATTAATTTATTTAATTCGAATTCTCTTTGGGAGTAAATATTATTAATTGAAGTTTATTGACTGCAAGTTTTTAAAAATATATTTATATCGGTTTTTATTATAAGAGAGAGATTCTTTATTACAGGCAAATATTTTATTACCTAATATTTTTATAAACCTATAAGCATTCACCTAAAAACTCATAATAATTGTAGCTCTAGAGTACAATTAAGAAGAAATTATTTTCAACGCAACATTAAATACACCTTACAGTAAAAACCATGGTGTGTCAACTTAATAAATTAACTGTTCATTTATTAATGTCAAAGATTTTTTTGCTGTTAGCCATCCTAGTTAATTTATGAGATATAATGAGAGTTAATTAATAACCATGATGTATATGTAATATCTATTAAGATACAACAAAAAAATAATTTTAATGACAAAAAATATTATTAATATATAATAATAATAGCTCCCGTATATATAGCGTTTAACGCCTTGGGAGTAGCAAGGTACAGCTTACCATACTAGAGCCGTTCGGTGTACAAGGAAGGTAATGTGGCTAGCACTACGCTTCAACCGCCTATTATTACCTCAGGATCGTGAATCCCAAGTACTCATTTAAAGCTGAGTTGACCTAGGTACCCAAACAATTTTTATTTTAATAAATATAGTCGGCTGATGAAATGCCGGGTGTGGGATTCGAGCCCACTACCTTCAGATTGGTAGACGAGAGCCTGTACCTCTACGCCACCGGGCACCTTATATTATTAATATTGTACATTAATTTTACAATATGCAATCCAATTAATGCATACTATTTATTATGCACTTATATATGCATTATAAGCAATTAAATTTATTACTCAAAATAACAATCGCGTATTAGAGAAAATGTAATTATTACATTTTTTAAACGAACCGTACATTTTCCGCCTTCCTCTTGCGATTTCTTTTGGGATAATTAGTCTACGCGCTGACATGTAATTTTTAGTTAGCAGATATTTAGTTTGCAAAAATGAAAACAATACATTTTTTAAGAGCCGATCAGTCGACTATTTGACTGCATTGCGTAATATTGGGCTATGCGCTGACAGGAAATTTTTAGCTGGCGGACTATTTAGTTGCAGACTTGTAACCAATATATTTATATGCATCCGCGTTCCGGAGGAGTATGCAATCAAATAGTCGGCCCATTGGCTCCATAAGAATATATTGTTTTCACTTTTGCAATTAAATAGTCGGTTTACTAGAGATTGCATGTCAGTGCTTAGGCTGATTGTTTTGGCGTGGAATATTTCCCTTTACTGTATCGAAACTATTTAAAAACGTAATTTCAAGTTTTCTTGTTTTTCAAATTCTGTTAATAAATATTGAAAATTTATGAATTAGTTTTTGGTGCAGATAAATAAACTAGACGTTCAATTTATAATGTGTGTGGATACATTTGTAAAATATTGTGATTATTAATAAAATATGTGACAAACATTTTTGACTATAAACTTTAAGAAGAAAATCCGTTACTGTTCTTGATTGTTTCCAAATATGTTTCTGCTTTCCATTTGCTTCCTTCTCCTGTGGTTTGTTCTTCCTATGGCAGGTATGTGGTTATTTAGAAATATAAATATTGTTATAATTAAGTAATATGTAGTAATTGTAGGTATCTGGTTATTTCAATTCAAAAATATCGTTAAATTAAAATAAAGTCTTGCTATTTTATTATTTCTTAACAAACATAACTTAATTGCTTATGATACTGGTTTGTTTTATTTTAAATAAAAAAATATATTTATGGCGGTACAAAAATTTACCTTTTTAAACTATTATCGTATAAACATATTTTGCTTATAAATATTTTAAATAGTTGTTAATTATAAATATATTAAAATATAGCAGGTTTAGAAAGATATGCGCAAAGTCAAATAAAAATTTTAAAAGGAAGCAATAAGAAACTGTCATCTTTATTTTTAGAACATCTTATTATATTAATTTATTTAATTCGAATTCTCTTTAGAAGTAAATATTTATTGAATTTTATTGACTGCAAGTTTTTAAAAATATTTTTTATCGGTATTTATTATAATAGAGAGATTTTTTATTACAGGCAAATATTTTATTACCTAATATTTTTATAAACCTATAAGCATTCAGCTAAAAACTCATAATAATTGTAGCTCTAGAGTACAATTAAGAAGAATTTATTTTCCACACAACATTAAATACACCTTGCAGTAAATTAACTGTTCATTTATCAATGTCAAAGAGTTAATAGGAACAATGGGACACGAGATCTAATCTTTGGTGATATTTTAATATAATTTTTTGCTGTTAGCCATCCTAGTTAATATATGATCGAAAAAAAATATCCTCGAATAAATATCAACAGGGAGAGTTAATTATAATAGCTATGACGTATAGAAAGTAATATCTATAAGGCTACAATAAAAATAATTTTAATGAAATTACAAATATTATCGATATTGTACCAAAATATTACAACCCCAAGGCGTTAAACGCTATATACAGGAGCTATTATTATTATTACCTAAGTTTTACAATATTCAATCTAAATATTGCATCTTCACTGATATAAAGAGCGAAGAGATATTAAGCAATAACAATTTTACTAATCAAAATAATTATCGCGTTTTTGAAAGCATGTAATTGGTACATTTTTTAAACGAACCGTGCATTTTTCTGCCTTCCTTTTGCGATCTCTTTTGAGATAGTTAGTCTACGCGTTGACAGGTAATTTTTAGTTGGCCGATATTTAGTTGCAAAAGTGAAAACAATATCTTCTTATGGAGCCGATCGACTATTTGATTGAATAATAGATGGACTAAATAGTCCATCTGCTCTTTTTTGCTATCAGCTGTCAACTCTGAGCCGTGTAAAAAACTTCCAACTTAGCAAGTGCCAAAGTGTATTCTTACTCACGGCATATTGTATCTAAAGGAGACAAAACCAATGAAAAAAAATAAACAATGTAAGTCCAGATTTCTTTTAGTTTTAATACCTAATCATTATCTACCTCGGACTTTTCAAAGTAAGAATGTATCTCATTCAGCCGTTAACTGGTGTGAATAAGAAAAACATTTCAATAAATTTTTCAGTCATACATTTCAACACAGCACGACGGATTTACCCTTCCTAATACCCATATTGTCTCGTACCTATTGTTTAAATAAAATTCCTAATAAATTTAATATCTAAAGTAAAAAACTTACAAATTCGGATTTTATTCATATATATACTATGCATATACTAAAAATAATTCAAATTATTTATATTTTCAAAACTAATTAGACTAATAAGAACTTTGCGCTATATATTTACAAAATCACTAAATGTTTCGCTATACCACATCTACCTCAGCCGACTAAAAGTTAGACTAAACTACTTATTTTATATCTATATATTTTTCTAGTGTTCTAATATAATATCCAGAGTAAAATAAGTGCGAATATTTTCAGGGCTGGTAGATCTTGATTAAAGAAACATAACTTTACTGTGTTCAATCAAATAAGTTCAAAATATATTAAAAATATTTTATTTTAAAATTTAAAAAAACGAGTTTTGGCCTAAATTTTGATAACCTCAGAATTTTTGCTAGGTTTTTTTATTCCAAATTTAATATGCCATCCATGTTGCCATATTATCAAGATATTATGTTTTCTATCAAGATTTTTTTTAAAAAATCTAAGGCTTTTTCATAAAATAATTTGTATATTATTTAATTATTGACGCTTTATATAAAACAGTTACCTACGTCGGATTAATAAAAGGGTTTTAATATTCTTCACTAAAATATCGATTTGATATTTCTATACAAGTATTGTGCATTAAAAACATATTTTTGTGTCGTGTCAAATAGAGTATTTCGAAAACATGCTGCTGAAAAAAAAAATGAAAAAGCAAATATAGCTGACCGATTATCAACATAGAGATGAAAAATAAAAGTTCGTATTGTTACATGTAGTTGGATCAATTTCGAAAAAAATAGAACGCGAACGTGCATTGCAATTCAATTAATATTTTTGTAGCAAATAAAATGTGGACAATATGTAAACGGCTATTGTTTTAAAGATCATTTTTTTAACAATATATCACGGACATGAAGTTTATAGTGTCAGATTTGAAATCAAACTATTGATGGTTTTTGATTAAAAAATTGTATATAAAAATATTTTAAAATATAAAAAAATAAAATACACTCGGATGCAAAAAAACGCAACGGAAAATTTTTTGGTCAAGTTTAAAATGTTATTTATTTTCTATTTTTAGCCATATTTTCTTGATTTTTTTAGCAAAGTGTATATAACTATATAAACTTTAATTCGTAAACTCAGTTTAATATAAACCTTAGTATTTGACTTATTATACAGGGT